CTGCCTCGACAGGTTTTCCTCAGAATTCACCGGAGTCCACTGAAGGGATGTTAATGGTTCGCACTTTGTTACCTAATAGGCTCGAGAGAGAAGTATCTGGCTTACGCAGATGGGAGTCTACGTTGTGCTCTACCACATGCGTATTCCGCAAGCGCATAGGATAACTGCGTAGGTGTCCCATTTTTTCACTGGATAGGTCGCCGATATGCCAAGATGGCATCTGAAATCTCGGTGGATTCTCGCCTAGCGATCTCTCACACACTCAACCAACCACCAGTGGCATTCTCGTTGTTAAGATAGTTTTCGCAATACCATTGAGCCGACGGGCCTGTCCGTTCTATTTGCCACGGGTTTCTAAGCACATTGTCGAAGTTCAAACAAAAAGCCTGATCACACTGCTACGAGGATCTTTTTTGTGCTTCAATCAACCAAACCAACCCATTCGGCAGCTTAGTTACACTATCAGTCGGGGTATCTGATGGATTTGAAAAAGAAAACCATCATATGGTGGAGTCCCGACCGTATTCACCTCCTTGCAGATAACATCGAACTAGCGATAAACACATCAATACCAAAAGTGTTGTCAAACTGTCCCAGTGCGGAATACCAGCGGTCGCTTGTTGATTTTGAGACAGTCGCACAAGTCGTATCCTGCAAATAGATAAACCAGGCTCTGCCGTTATTCCCAATGAACAAACGAGAGATGAAATTGTGCTTTTCATAAACGACAGCGCTCTTCAGAGACCGACAAAGACACCACGAGCGCGCAGTCAGATCAGTTGGCGGACAGAAAACTCCGTGTCTCCCACGCTAACATTCGTCTCGTCTTGACATATGCATGTGAAACTTGGAAATCACGAGCGAAAGGAATAAAGCACCGGGAGATGTGCGACCACTGATTCCAACGCAAACAAACTAATTCAAATCAATTAGACCGTCCCACTTCAAAACAACAAAATCAGACGACAGTGCTACAATTTCCATAACCCATCAGAACTGCTTCAGCGAAATCGCCCTCAGAAGTTCACTCGAATCCCTAGACGCCCGACTGAAGAGCTGTCCAAACCAGCGCTTAACCCTTCCTTCAAATCGAAAATAACTACAGATGTCGGACTGGGGAAAAGTCCCTAAGCGTGCACGAACACGGTCAAGTCAAACGTGGAAAATTCAGATCTGCACAGTCCGGTTCGAGAACAGTGATTGTATCGCACAAACCGCCAAGCACGTAAACACATGTCATCCCGGATATCCACAATGCCGACTTAGTCTTTAGCAAAACATAGTAGCGCTAAACTAAATCTAGCTATACTCATACAAGCCAACAAGAGACTACCGATCATCAAAGACACAATCAATTAGCGTGAATAAGCTTTACACATTCTCACCATTCCCATCCCAAAGACGCACTGCACCCATCAGCAACAATCTAAAATGGGACCATCACACACACATTGCAACTATTCGAATAACTGCTACAGCACTAACCGGGTGTAGACCGTTCAACGAATCAACCAATCAATCAGAACAGACTGATTGAGACCACACTGAACGGTCATATTCGTATTGCATGGTTTTATACCAACCAGCTCGATCAGTGAGCAAGTCGGCGAACAGACATGCGTGGTGTCAGGACAAGGAAAAGCATCGGAAAAATCGGTGTACAGGCGATCGACACGTCATGAACAATCCAACCCAATACGACATTATATGCAACATCAGTCAAAATCATCATCCACAATTCAATAACCTACACTCGGATTCGACTAGTCCCAGCTGCTAAACAATCGATAAATCTCATCGTAACAATCCGAAGATAATTTCAGAGAAAACAAATGGTCTCTACACAATCGATGCAAACAAGCCCACGTAATACAACTGACCACACATGGGGAGAAGATCATGAGAAATACACATTGATGAGTACGCTTCAAATCACACGTTCCCCGAAAGCATCGAACATCAATCAGCCGCATCAGTCAAACCAATAAACCACCACAATTGAGCACAACCACCCACAGAGGAAGCGAGAGAACGAAAGAGATCGGTGCATTCGCACATCTGGTCAGATTGTCGATGAAGAAGATGAGCGCATAACTCGACAGGGAACTGTTCAAAACATCACAGTTGCATCACAAACAACAACCGACAAGTGTCTCCTGCCAGAGAGCATATCGATCGGGAACCAATTCGTAATTATGTAACACAGAAGCCCCAACAATCCGTTGAAACGTGACTCGCCGAGCTCCTCCAATGACATTCAGATTATCAATAGAAACGCACCGAGCAAAATAATCACAGACGAAGGAATGCCGCATAAGTTGATCGGGTTATTGAAAACATGCCACGCATTTCATCGTCCACGGTGAACAATCACTCGAATCAACGCTCAAGCAGAGAGAGCAGAGACAAAACTGCCGTGCCACCTCTCCTCCCGTGCTCTTCAAACACGCAATTAATTGATTGATTGCATAATGACAAGAGCTCTCGATGTGACTACTGCCGTATCCAGCTCAGTTCAAACGTGTGGACTTCTGACCTAAAGTAAGTAGGCGAACGACATTATTCTATCGGGGGATTTGAAAAAGAAAACCATCATACGGTAGAGTCCCGACCGTATTCACCTCCTTGCAGATAACATCGAACTAGCGATAAACACATCAATACCAAAAGTGTTGTCAAACTGTCCCAGTGCGGAATACCAGCGGTCGCTTGTTGATTTTGAGACAGTCGCACAAGTCGTATCCTGCAAATAGATAAACCAGGCTCTGCCGTTATTCCCAATGAACAAACGAGAGATGAAATTGTGCTTTTCATAAACGACAGCGCTCTTCAGAGACCGACAAAGACACCACGAGCGCGCAGTCAGATCAGTTGGCGGACAGAAAACTCCGTGTCTCCCACGCTAACATTCGTCTCGTCTTGACATATGCATGTGAAACTTGGAAATCACGAGCGAAAGGAATAAAGCACCGGGAGATGTGCGACCACTGATTCCAACGCAAACAAACTAATTCAAATCAATTAGACCGTCCCACTTCAAAACAACAAAATCAGACGACAGTGCTACAATTTCCATAACCCATCAGAACTGCTTCAGCGAAATCGCCCTCAGAAGTTCACTCGAATCCCTAGACGCCCGACTGAAGAGCTGTCCAAACCAGCGCTTAACCCTTCCTTCAAATCGAAAATAACTACAGATGTCGGACTGGGGAAAAGTCCCTAAGCGTGCACGAACACGGTCAAGTCAAACGTGGTAAATTCAGGTCAATGCACGAGGTGTAGACAACAATGCCCAACGCTTCCTGAAAACTATCCTGTGTATATACGCACTGGATCAATAAATGTGCCGTGATTTTGGGCAAATAAAGCGAATTTTTATATGCATACATGTTTCTGTTTTTCATTATTCGCGGAATGTCTTCTATTACCAGTAGACGTATTGCAAGACGTTGGTTTTGAAAAATGTATCAGGGCTAATGCGTGCAGATGCAAAACGTATATTCACGTACAGATGCACGTTGGTCTTACATCACCGCCTCAGTTGAATTATTTTGATTCACAAAAACCCGTCATGACGATCAGTGATATGGACATAAAGCAACGATTCCATTTTTCCTAAAATACGTGGATCATAAGTTTTACGCAAATTAGTTTTTTCGTATTTTAGCGAGAACT